GCCAAAGGCCAATGATAAGTGGCAGACTTAAGTCTAGATTCTGTGGCTTGCCCAGCACGAGTCTGGCTACTATTAAAGAATGTTGGCAAAGCTGCTCAAAGAACCAATATTTTGAGGCTGCCATTTGTATTACTTAGATGATTATTTTTCTCCCTTGAATTTTAGGCATGACGATGTGGAAGGACTTAGACCACGTTGTAGGGTATGTTCTGATAATGTCACAATGAGAGCTCTTAGTCTGGATCCCTGATTTTTCCATGCCATAGGAAGAAGGGTACTTGTGAGGTTGGTTAGCCTAGCAACTTTATATAAATAAACAGGCTGCCATCAGTCTTTAGGATGCTGGAAAAACCTAGAGGAAAAAAACAAAACAAAACAAAAATACCACCTGAAATGAGCATCTTGAGAGCTGGAATTTTCTCAATGGTGTTTTCATCTTGACATTGTAATTGATGCAGCCAAAGGAAAAACCAATGTGCTATTCAACTAAACTTAGCCATGATTCATGGAAAATAGATGTTAGGAATCTGCAGAAATACTGTTAGTGAAGTCAGAAAAAGGGTAAGAATATAACAGATGAGAATTAGAAAAATAATTAGCTCAACACGACATGCCTCCTTTATCAGAGTGCATACTCTTCACAGCTGTCCCTCCCTGTGCATGTCTACCTAGGCTTCTAGGGATGGTGAACTAGCTATTCTATCAAAGAACAATTTTTTTTGGTACTGGGAATCAAACTCACAACCTTGTGCTTCAGAGGCAGGCATGGCGCCACTAAGCTAAATCCCTGGCCCAAAGAACAAATTTCTTATAGCAACTGCAGAATATATAGGTACCCTGGAACTGATCCTAGTTGACTACAAAATTACAGTATTCATTCTGTTTTCATAGTTGAGGAAAACCAGCAAGAAAGCTACAAGTTTCCATTGGAAATAAGAAGACCAATTTATAGTTTAGTGTAGAAAATACAAACCAAGGAATAGAATCAGTATTTTTAGAAACCAAAAACCAAAAAAAGTCAACCCAGAATTTAGACTTTATATAGAAAGCACGAGTCAGAGACTATTCAATAGTTTGAATGACAAAACATACATACGCTGCAGAAATGGTGAAACTGACAACTATTTCCTTTGTAGTTTTAGTTATTCTAAACATAGTTGGAAGCATATTTTTTTGTTTGTTTGTTTTGGTGTCAGGGATCAAACTCTGGTCCTTGTGCTTGCACAGCAGGCGGTGAAACCACTGAGCTAAATCCCTGCCCAGCATATTGTTTACATTTCTGTTACTCCCTATAAAATTATAAATTCCTTAAAGATAGAAATCACATCTTACTCATCTCTTTCTCCACTCTAGTACAGTACCTGACATACACTAAATGTTCAACAAATTACTTCTTAAGTAAACTCAGAGTAAAAACTCACTTGAAAAACATCTACTCTCAATCCTAAAATACATAAATAAAAGGATATATAAAAGCAAAAAATACAACTTTAGTTTTCTTTTCACAAAGATAATATTTGATTTATTTGAGATTTAGAATCTTCACATGTAGGTCAAACTTTTTACCAGAAAACAGAAACATTAAGTTGGTTTTAATCACAAAGTAATACCTTTAAGCAAGATACAACAGAAATCTTAAACTAATGTTATGAGGTTTTAATTCTCAAATGGAGGTTGTTTGGTGGAAAATGGAAAAATATCTGAAAAGTTTCTGAGATTTCTTTTATGTCCATCATTTAAAAAAAGATTTTTAAAAAATCACTATTAGCAATGCTCACCACCATTTATTGAGGGTTTACCATGTACCAAAGATTGTGCTAAGCACTTTCCTAAAACAACACATTTAGTCCCCCACATAATGAAGTAAATACCACTCCACATTACACAGAAATATTTTTTATCCATTAGGGAAAAAAATGTTAGCTTTAGAGATGAGCTGGACCACTGCTGTAATTTTATATATTAAAATAAAAACAATGAGGAATAATAAAAAGAAAATATATTGTAAAGTAGATGTCAGGTATAGAAGACTAAAAGGACAGAGAGGAAACATACAAAGTCTGAGGAAAGGAACCTAAGAAATGGCCAGAAGTCAGATTATTAGCTAATTGTCAGAATAAAGTGTAAAAGAAAAGTCAGTGGTTTATAAGGTCCCCTGAAGGCACTGGGAAAACTAACAGGTGACAATAATGATGGATATTTTTAAAGCAGCAGCTATAGTTTATTGAATCCTTAAGAATTAATATAGATTTTATGCTCAAAATTTCACAGGATTCAAATCCATTCCTGTGTGGTCCCATAGCCAGTGTCGTTTTTAATTTCGGTGTTATAAAATACTGCACCTTGCAAAAAGCTGTGCCAGGAGAGTGAGATAGTTATACTTTCTCATAATAAAACATTATAAATTTTTGGAAAAAATAAAATTTAAAGAAAATATACTGTTTGAAACTTAGGGTCTAAGTGAAGACTCCTTTGGAGATACTAAAACCACTTATTTATCCATCTCATGGATATATTCACTTGGAGGCCCTGAAGAGACTCTCAGAACCAGTCAATCAAAATGGAATTCATCTAGAGATATCATCTTCCCAATACTTTTCCTCTGTGATTCAGTATCTCTCAGTTATCCAAGATATGAAACTTAAAGAAAATAAAAATTCAGAATTAACTGCCTAGCCTTACTACCACCATTATTTCTACTTTTCAATTTATCTCAACTACAAATATTTTTTTTTCAGTGGAATTTTCTTTGTATTTATCATTTTTGTTAAGTTATAGACATTTAAATTTTCAGCAATAATTTATAACAGTTATATTCCATATATTCCAGCTACTGGAAAAACACAAAGACAGAAAAATTAAAGTACAAAGAGAGACTTCAAAAATGAGGTTGCTATAATGCATCATAGAAGTTAAAATTTAAAATAGCAAAGACTCCACAAACTGTAACTCAAGATAAAGTTTAAAACCTCCCCATGGGCCTGCATCCCTAAAATTACAAAATTGGGCAACTTCCTAAACTAAAGAATCAACTATTTTCATGGTAGGAAAACAAAAAATGCTTTGGTAAGCTATCTTTAAATATTTCTCCCCATTTGTCCATTTGTATCTCTAATGATTGTATATAAACACAGGCACATCACATATTTGAGAATCAGCCTCACAAACTTTTCACTCTAGATTTCTCAAACATCTTTACATTTGGTCAATGACAAAAGAAATTCAATTTCTTGGATTCTAGTTTTAAAAAATTATAAGTATTTCCAGAGATCTTAAAGCTCTCTCTTGCAAAGTATATAAAATAGTACGTACACTTTCAAACTCTGAAGCACTCACATTTTCTCTGACTTAATGCAGGATACAGACCTTAGGAAGGTGATACAACAGCTCACAGTGAGCTACCTTCTGCATGAGTCTGGATATTAATAAGTTAAAAAAGTGGCCAACTTGAACTTTACTCATCCTTTCTACCAGTATGGAAAAAGAACATGAGTTTTGAAATTAGTCAGAATGATCTGTTACACATTTGCTATCTATATGGCCTAAAACTTGTACCTATTATCTAATATTTCCATTTACCTTCAAAACAAACACTCATACTGGGTACTACGTATTTTCTTATTTATTTTACTGTGAAACATCCACAGTACGATGGTTGGGAGGACATGATTAAAGGAGTTTGCTCTGGTAAGATGCCTCAGTGAAATTAAATTCACCTAGACTGACACTCTAAAAAAACAGAGGCTTTCCACGTAAAGCAAAGAGAAGTCTGAGATAACTTTATTCTTAATAGAGAAGGGGGTCTACAAGTCCTTCAATAATTAAAGGATCAAAAGAAAAGGGGAGAGCAGATATAAAAGCAAAGCACAAAGTCCAAAGTACTTTCAATGAACATCTCACATGTTCGGTATGAGCAAAAGAATAAACCAGATACAAAAGAATGCATACCATTATCATTCCATTTCTACGAAATTCAGAAATAGGCAAAAACTAAATTAAGGTGGAAGAAGTCAAAATAGTGATTACTTCCAGGTGCAAAGAAAGGGTACTTCTGTCACAAGGCCTGTGGGAGCCTTCTAAGATGATAAACCTATTCTGCACCTGTACCTTGACCCTTCATGATTGTGCACACATACAGGAAAATTGATTGGGATGAGTATTTTAGATCCTAGCGCTTTCTATATAAAATGTTTCAAAATAAAACAAATTATAAAGAGTGGGTGTCAAATAAGAACAAGAAACATAAAAATCCCATTAGATTTTGTGTTATCTTTTCTATGTTTTTGATTTGTGTTCTCACTGACGCCTTCATGGGGAGAAGCAGTATGTGTATTATAAGAAAAACTCAGCATTTCTTTGGCAATAACTAGAAAGGTGCAGCCGGATGACCTGTATTGCCTTCTACAGCTAGGTCTCACAGAGGGCCGGAAATTTAAGGAAACAAGTGAGCCGTGGGTAGCAAACACCTGATAACAGTTGGGGCATGCCAGGAAGAAATCCCGGGGCTTTGCAACAATTAATGGTTAATCTGGACACCATAACAAACTGATGTCCTACAGGTACTTACTGAACTGTACGTGGTTAAAAATATAATCTTTCTTCCCCCAAAAAGTTTTTTTTAAAGTATTTCCTCCAAAATCACTGATTATAAAATCTAACTTCAACCCTAAGAAATAGTAGCTCTATGGCAGCCATCATTAGCACTGGACAATACCAAGGAAAAGACTTGGCTGAAGTGGTATACACTCCATCGTACAGCTTTCATTAGCTGTTAGAACCATGAGCTGTGCTTCTCTGACACATTTATGGAAGATGTTTGGGAAAGTCACAAAGAAGGGGGAATGTGAAACCAACGAACAAACAAACCTAAATTAACCAACCTTTTACAATCTCACCATTCAACAAAAGAAAAAAAAATGATGCAATGATTTAAGATAAAGAAATATAATGAGCAGACCCTACAACAAACCCTCTTGCTAAGTGGATGCCTCCATTCTCACCTTTATCCCGATCATAGAGTAAATCTTCTGTTGAGCAAGGGCTACCATCCTGGGACTCCGGAGGACAAAATGGGGACACACAAGGTGAATGACTGCTGCAGCTACTGCTGCGCTCCTGAACGGAAGGAGTCTGGGTGTCAATGCTGCGAGTACTACTGCTCCGGTAGTGCGCAGGGAGTGGAGCTCTTCGACCATCTGGTATGTCCAAAGGCTGTAAGAGGAACACCATCATCATATGGACAATAGCACATACATTCCACACCACAGAACAACATGGTGTGCCTTCCAATTTATACTCCATCCCTATCACCAGCGTAATTTATTCTTCAGCTAATAAGGATACCAAATCACGTCTTAAGTTAGTTCTTGGGCATGTTTATTGAACTGTAAGTTTCTTTCAGATAAAAGTTTCCTTTAAAAAAAATTCTGTGGCTTTCTGTATGTATTCACAGGTTAGTAGTACTTCCCAAAATACTTCTCAAGGACAGCAGGAGTGTAATATTATATCCCTAATGCCTATTACGGTGTGTGGCATGTAACAGACATCCAATAAACATTTGCAAAATGAATTTACTGAATAGTCAACAAAATCACTTTCACATCTAGTAAGAAAAAATTGAAGTCTTGTATTCACAGGTATTTCTTATTTGCTAATTTTCGTATTTTAATTTTCTAGATGCCAAGAACAGGACTATACTTTCTATTTCCTTTGAAAATTACCCCAAATTTCTAATAAGCTGGTTTATTGTATTAGTACTCAGTGGAGGGTGCTAATATAATTCAGAACAATTCTACTAATTTGGTATCCAACCAAGTATGACTACTCATAATTTTATTTAGTTCTAATGTATTGTTCTAAGGTGGAAAAAAATAAGAAATTTTTATTTATTTTTGTTGTTTTTCAAAGAGGTTCTCACTTTGTTCCTGAGTGCTGGTATTAGAGGCATGCACCCTTAAACCCAGCATCAAAAAGAAAAAATTTAAAGGAAATTATAAGCATATATGTTGGACCAGAGGGCACCTTAGTGTTCATCAGTCAGTCTTATTTTCACAAGTAAGAAACCTATAGTTCAGAGTTCCTGCTGACACAGCTAATTACGTGGCATGAGAACCTGCTGAGTGGATTCTTTCTACTCAACTACTCTGCTTCTATTGCAAAAAAAGATTTTACTCCATTTTCTTCATTTGTATACTAACAAAGTGCAATCGACAAGTAAAAGTTTATATATTAAATTCTTTCTTAAATAATTAAAAATATTATTAGGATTTCAGTGCTAGGGAAAGGGGCAATATGTTAGTTTATTTACAATTTATTTTGATTAGTTTCTAATGATCTTACTCTGAATTTTGTCATTTCAGCAATTTCAAAAATACATATTATCAGAGAGGGAAGGTTAAACTAAGATTCAAAATGTACTAATATCTTCTATAACAAGCAATTCAAGTGAAGGCTGAAACCTGAAACTACTGAAAAAAAAAAAACCTTCATTTATCTATGCAATGCACTGCTGCTAACCCAAAACTATACCATCTTTATAATCTGACAATGACTACTGTACTATAAAAAGAATGTTCAATTATTTAAGTATCAGTATACTTTGTACCAAAAAAGTAGAACTTTTCAATTTGGGAATGAAACAAAACATTAATTTACTTGGTCATAGTCTCATAAAATATTAGTTTAATGAATGTGTCAATGTTGGCAATTGATAAAAGAATAATATACCATACTTTGCAGCTTAAAGAGTTTAAGAATTTGAACTACAGTATCTTTCATTTATGTCCTATCTGATAAATATAATTTCTCTGTATTTCCATTTCTTAATCTATAAAGACTATGAATTTCCCCAACAAATTTTGTTTTGTTTTTGTTTTTTGAGACAGGGTCTATGTTATCCAAGCTGACCTCAAACTCATGGTGATCTTCCAGTCTCAGCCTCCCGAGTGCTGGCATTAGAGGCATGTGCCTGGTTCCCCAACAAACTCTTGTTAGGGGATAGAATTACAACAGATTTCAGAAATCCATATATTTACACAAAATAACAATAGGAAACATAAAGTCTTGTAATATAACATAGTTAACATGACAATTTCTATTTTTAACTAGAGGAAGGTATCTGACTTATTAAACCTTTGAAGTATAATTAATCATAAGTCTAAAATTTTAAAAAATTAATACTTCAACTGTAAGTTTGCAGTATATCCCAGAATGATTCTGAAATGGCCACTGCTAAATTAAAAATGACTTATTTAAAAGCAGAATGATTTTAGCAAGTTTTATATTTTAGTAGAATTTTGCTCTGATATTCTTAAGGAAAAGTGATATATGTAAATGACTATCTCATCCTCAAAAAATTAGATCAATGTTATTTCTTTACATCACACTCCTCTTAACGTATAAAGGACACATTTTAGTAAGAAACAGCTAAGAGATGGTATGATATTCAAAGGGTTCCTTCATATATATATATATATATATATATATATATATATATATATAATATATCTAAGAAGAGAGAAATAGCAAAACCTTCCACAGGGGATAATTTGGTATATTCACCAATATTTAAAATGTAAAACTGCTCTGACTAAACAATTTCACCATCAAGAAATATCTGCAAGGATACAAAATGTTTTCTAGAGCAGTGCCTGTGAGGACAAACACTGGAAACAATCTCAATGTTCATAAGGGAATTTTATAAATTATAGTATATTCATACAAAGATTCACTGCATTCTAGGAAGGGTATGTAAGAACAAATAAATGTTGCTTGTATTTGCTAATCAGTACTAAGAGTTAGAATCAAGTTTTAATTTAAATATTATAAAGATAACCTAACTCTAAATTACTTTAAAAGCTTCCACATTATTTGAACGAGTGGATATACATTTGATATACATTAAAGCATATTTTAGATTCAAAACAGCAAGAAAAAGAATTAGGCGATCAATTTCCTCATGGTATCTCTTTAAAAATATGGTCAAATAAAATGTTCATATGGAATAGTGTCCAGATTTGTTTTCTGGGACTGAGGTAATTTACAAACTAATTCTGATTAATTCAAAATGGATCTAAAATCTAAATATAAGTGATAACTAAACCTCTCAAACTCATAGAAGAAAAGAATGGAATAAATCATTGTGACCTTGGAGGAAACAATAGTTTCTTACATACGGCACAAACAGTGCAAACAACCAAGAAAAAAAAACTGGACTCCATCAAAATTAAAAGTTCTTCAAAGAATACTATGTCTTATACTCTAACTACTTGGAGGATAATACACAGTGTATTAACTATTGTTATTATTTTGTTGTGAAATTGGTTTTTTCATAAAATTAAAAAACAAAAATACAAAGGAGAAAAGGATAATGGACAGAACAGAATATAATATTTTCAGATGATATATCTGATACATGAACTTGTATTTAGAAAACAAAAACTTTATGAAGAACATTTACAAATCAATAAAAGAAAATTTAATTTTTTTTTTTGGTACTGGGGATCAAACTCAGGCTTGCGGTTGGTTGCGAGGCAGGCAGCAGAACCACTGAACTAAATCCCCGGCCCAAGACAATTTAATTTTGTTTGTTTTTTGGTACCGGGAATCAAACTCAGGTCCTTGCGCTTGCGCAGCAGGTGGCGAAACCACTGAGCTAAATCCCTGGCCCAACAATTTAATTTTAAGAAGGAGAAAAGGATCTAAATATAAATTTCTCCAAAGAAGACAGTTTCATGAAGCAGCTCACGAAAAGATACTTAAATCGTCAGCCATTAGGAAATGAAAATCAACATCATGATGACATGCCACTTAATGTCCACTAGGATGGCTATCACAAAAAAAGACATAATTACAAGTGTTGGCAAGAATGTAGAAAAGCTAGAGCACTCATAAATCGCTGGTGGCGATGTAAAACGGTACACACACTTTGGAAAACAATCTGGCAATTCCTCCACAGGTTAAACATAGAGGTACCATGTCAGCAATTCTAATCTCAAGGTTACACCCAAAAGAAATGAAAACATTATATTCACATAAAAATTTGTATATGTGTTCATAAGAAAACTATTTATAATAGCCAAAAATCAGAAACAGTCTAAATGAATATCAAATGATGACTAGATAAATACAATCTGCAAAACTAAGTACTGTTTGGCAGAAAAAAGGAAATAGTGATATACACTGTAAAATGGAGGAATCTTCCAAACACTATTAAATGAAAAAAGCAAGTTACAAAGGGACACATATTGTATGATTCTGTTTAGTTGAAATATCTAGAAGAGGGAAAAATCCACGGACCCAGAAAGTAGATCAGTGATTTAGAGGACCCCAAGAGGTAAGAGGAAAATGAGAGATGAATGCCAATGCCAAAGACTATGAAATTTTTTCTGAGTATGTGTGTGGGGGATAAAAATGCTTTGATTTTGACAATAGTTGTATAAGTCCACTGATATACTCAAACTCACCAAACTGTATGCTAAACAGGGTAAATTGTATGGTATATAAGTTGTATTGCCACGAAGCTGTTACTTAAAACATACTTGTGAGACAGTGTGTAATGTTAAAGAAAAATTATTCAAGTATCTCATGTACCCTTACCTTGGACACTTCCTCCTTCCCATTATTTTCTTTAATGAATACCTTTTCCAGCTCAGGACTTATTCCTTCTACATTGCAGGGCACACGTGAAACTGATGATTTTGGCACTGATATATTTGACAGTGGCATAGGGACTGACCTCGATCCAGGAGCCTATGGAACAAAACATAATGGTGTCAAATTATCTGTGATCAAAGTAATCAACAATTAAGAACAAAGCATGGGGGCCAGGGATTTAGCACATGGTACTGCACCTACCTTGCAAGCGCAAGGTCCTGAGTTCAATACCTGGTACCAAAAAAAAAAAAAAAAAGAACAAAGCAAATCTTAAAAACTGAAGGGCTGGGGATGCACCTCAGTGGCAGAGCTCTTGCCTTGTGTATATGAGGTTTCAAGTTCAATCTCTAGCACCACAAAAAAATTTAAAATAAAAATTCAATGAACAGCTATTTTTGACACTTCAAATACAGTAATAATTCATACACACACAGACACACACACACACACACATGTTCTAAAGCAGTGATGGCGAACCTTTTAGAGCTTTCAATGATACCAACAGAGCTTTGCAGCACACATGCCACAGGTTTGGCACCACTCTTCTGCATTAAGGTAAAATTAGTCACAACAATCCCTGAAAAATCCTTTTATGCAAGTGCAAAGAAATAACTAAAATGTATAATATACACACTTGTGCAAAAGAATGCCAGACGGATTCTTTAGTGTGTTTTTCCCTTTTTGTTTTACTGAAAAAGCACAGTTGAAATGATACGCTATTTCATGACTCCACTGTTCATTTCTCTGTTTAAAATATTTATTTCCTGTGCAGTGACAACTTTAAGTATTTTTCATTTCCATTCTGTCAACCATTTAAGAAAGCCTAAATGGGTGTGGTAGCACATGTCTGTAATCCTCACACTCTGGGGGGCTGAGACAGGAGGACTGCAAAGTCCAAACACTGTCACAAAATAAAATTTTAAAAGGGAGGGGAGGCACCTAGGGACAAGCTCAGTGCAAAGTCCCCGGGTTCAATTCCCAATTTTTTTAAAAAAGCCTACTAGATTATTAGGTAATATCACAGCAGTACTATGTTAAATTCAACACTCACTTAACAATTGTAAGGTTGTTTTCAAAAGTTCCTAGCAACAGTTCTTAAACATTAACCATCTCTGATGTGTAGGGATTACCAAAAGTGGTAGAGGACCTTTTGACGTTCAAGAAAAATATACAATAGGAAGAAAATCAGAAAAGTAAAGATTAGCAAGGTAAAAATTAAAACAATCTATGAGACTGTGGGGAGAAAGGAACCCTTTTTCATTGTTGGTGAGAGTGAAAATTGGTGCAACCACTATGGAAATCAGTATGGAGATTCCTCAAAAAACTAAAAATAGAAATTCTATTTGACCCAGCTATTCTCCTTTTAGATATCTCCCCAAAAGAGTTAAAACATTGTCCCACAGTAATGTCTGCATACCTATGTTTATAGCAGCACTGTTTATAATAGATAAATCTTGGAAACAGCCTGTATGTCCATCAACAGATGAATGGATAACAAATACGTGGTATTTATACACAATGGAGTACTACTCTGCCATGCTGGAGGATAAACTTGAGTCATTTGTAGAAAAATGGATACAACTTGAGAACATAATGTGAAATGAAATAACTCAGATACACAAGCTTAAATATCCCATGGTTTCTCTCATTTGAAAAACTCAATATACATACATATAGTTTGAAATAGAAGACAGACGATAATAAAAAAAGAAAGAAAAAGAAAGGGTCTGTAATCCAGCAAGGACACTGTATCTAAAAGTTTACCTTGACTTAGTATAACTGTCTTACATGTTTTATATGTTCTTTGACCGATTACTCTGGTTTTCAATCTCTATACATGATAAATTAACTATAATGTCTTATAAGATCAATAAATGAATCTGATGCTGAAAAAACGAAAAGGTGGATGGGGCCAGGGATTTAGCTCAGTGGTTCTCCTCCCTGCCTCGCAAGCGCAAGGTCCCGAGTCCGATCCCCGGTACCTAAATAAATAAAAGGTAGGTGGAGGGAGGGGAAAAAAACAGGAGTTGAAATGTGTGTTATGTACATGTACCAATCACATACTGCAAACATGTACTAATAAAAGTCTGAAGGAAAAAACAAGAACCCGTGATCTCATCTTACAATGAATGATTAAAGTTGATATATGTGACCTGTAATGAGGCAGGCTGCTAATTCCTGGTCAGCACATTAATATTTCCCATCCTCAGCCCTATGCTCCTGCCATCTGTGAATGGTATCCACTGATATGCTTTGTCTCTCACTGATACATGAGCTTAGTCATATTGAACTTTTAACTCTTTATCACACATATGCTGTTTCTTCAGTATCAAATATTTTCTTTCAGGATTTTATGATTTTCCATACTTAGATATTGAAACTATGATTTACTGATAGAAGTAAAGAGCTTAGTATTTTTATACCCACAGAGTAATCCAACTGCCCTTGAAAGTTATTATGGAGGAATAAAGGGCCTACAGTCCATTTTCCAGGAGCAGGGCCTGGCAGAGTTGGTGCATACCTGGCAAGGTCATGGCTACCTAGCAACCTACACAAACAAAAATGGCAGCTTCGTCAATTTGAGAATTTATCCACATAGATTGGTATTGCTGGACCTTCAGAGTTACGACAGTGATATCCAGGGCAAAGAAGAAAACGACAACCTTTTGAACAAAGTAGAAGCAAGAATGAAAGAATTGAGTCAGGCTAGTATTGGGCAGGTGAAGTGTTTGCCAACCATAGTTCGAGGAGGGGCCATCGACAGATACTGGCCCACTGCTGATGGGCGCCTGGTTGAGTATGACATGGATGAAGTAGTATATGATGAAGATTCACCTTAACAGAGCATTAAAATTCTACACTCAAAGCAGCTTGGAAATATTCTCATCCTTAGTGGGGATGTTAATTTGGCAGAGAGTGATTTGGCATATACCTGGGCTAGCCTGGGCAGTGGCAAAGAAGATTACACTGGCAAAGACATACTGATGCTGGGAGGCGGAGATGGAGGCATATTATGTGAAACAGTCAAACTGAAACCAAAGATGGTCACTATGGTAGAGGTTGACCAAATGGTTGATGCATGTAAGAAATATATGCGCAAAACATGTAGCGACGTCTTAGACAATCTTAAAGGAGACTGCCATCAGGTTCTAATGGACTGCATTCCAGTACTGAAGAGGTATGCCAAAGAAGGGAGAGAGTTTGATTATGTGATTAATGATTTGACAGCTATTCCAATCTCTACATCTTCAGAAGAAGATTCCACATGGGAGTTTCTCAGACTGATTCTTAACCTCTCAATGAAAGTACTGAAACAGGATGGGAAGTATTTTACATAGAGGAACTGTGTCAATTTGACAGAAGCCCTGTTGCTCTATGAAGAACAGCTTGGGCGCTCATACTGTCCTGTGGAATTCTCGAAGGAGATCCTCTGTGTCCCTTCATACTTGGAATTGTGGGTATTTTACACTGTTTGGAAGAAAGCTAAACCCTGCAGATGGATATCCCAATGATGTGTGCTGCAGATAGCCTTCCTGACCTCCAAATGCTGTACATGCCATCAAGATGAGTCAGGCAATTGATTGTGACTTCCTTAAAGTTTTCTCTTTTTAATTATTATTTTTAATTTAAAAAAGCAAATGGAAAATGTGTATTTTGATGAGCTAGGGTGTTATTTTTTTGAAGGTCAGCTGATGGACAATTAGTACAGCAAAGACTGCTAAATGCGCTGACCCCCTAGGATGTGATTTTTTTTACTTTTTATTTCTGTGCGGGTTGTTTTGTTTTGAGTGTGGTGGAACTTAAATTTGGACCTTTGGAGGAATGAGCATCATTGTTTTCATTTCAGAGGGAAGATCTTGATGGTTTTAAAAAAACTGACTTAGATTTTAAAATTTGGTACTTTTAAGAAAGAGTTAAAAATGAATAGCAGTGCTTCAATTAAAGTTACAAAAGAAAAAAAAGAAATTTATTTATGGATTCTATATTTGATTTCCTTGAGCTACCATCCTTTTAAAATTTTTTATTAGTACATGGTTACAGTACATAATGATTATACTCATTGTGGGGAGCTGGTACATGAACATAACACATCTTAATTCTTTTTACTTCCCTTTCCTCTCCCCTCCCTCCATGTCTTTGTCCCTTCCTCATTTGCAAAAGATAAATATCCTGGGTTTTTTTTTAATCTATGTTTTATTTTGCTCTTTAAATTATACTTTGGGTTAAAGTTCTGCTTTAATTGGTATAATTTTATGGTATATTTTGACATCTTGTGGGAAGTCTTTTTCAAATTTTCTATTAATGGGCCTTGTTTTTCTATATGACCTTTGAAAATAACTTTCTAAGTAATAAAAGCAATTCCTTTTGAATTCCTAAAACAAACATAATTTGTGCATTTATTTGGGGTAAACTACTATTTGAAAAATATCTTTGCATCCATTAATGTTAAGGCTTCCAATTTATCTCTAATTTATGCTTCATATCCTCAATAAACACATAGAGCTTTCATTTTTTAAAGTTTAATTACAGAACATTTTATATTTTTTCTTTAAAAAAATTTTTGTAAGCCAAAATAGGAATTTTGTATTTTTACATTTTGTCTAATCATCTTATTTCACTTTTTCCCCTTTTATTATGCAAAATTCCAATCACAGACATAATTAGAACCACATAATGAACCCTCAAGATGAACGCCAACTTCAAAATTTATCAATTTTTTTGAATTTGTCATCCAAATACCCATTTTGTTTTTGTTGCTGGAGTATCTTAAAGCAGATTTTAAACTTCATATTTCACCTACAATATTTGTATAGGAAAATATATTTAGAAACATAGCTACATGACAAAAAATTAAATGTAAATTTGAACAATTGTGTAAGTCTATTTTACTAAATCAACAAGTCAATCTATACAAGTGCATGTATTCCTAGAGACAGTGCATGAAATAAATTGAATAAGAATTATATACTAATTCTGTCAGATTAAGAAGAAAAAGGAAGGTGTAGGTGACTATTCACTTCAAATGTTTGAGACTTGCTGGTTTGTTTTACAGCTCTGATGAGGTATGCTTGGCATACAATAAAATCATCTCATTTAAAGTATACAGTTATTTGAACTTAGCTAAATATAAACAGTCATCAAACTAATCAAAACAGTTCCATTTAGAACTTTCTATCACCCAAAAATATTCCCTAATGGCTTTTTGGAGTCAATTACTATGCTCAATATTTTGTTTCTATAATTTCACCTTTTCAAGAATTTAATGAACAAGTCACACAGCATGTAGCCCTTTGGTCTTAACTTCTTTCACTTCCTATAATGTTTCTGAGATTCAATCATGTAATATGTATGGGTTGTTCCTTCTATTTTACTGATGAACAGTATTACATTGTATGGATATGTGAACTGTTTGTCCATTACCGGTTTATGAATATGAATGTCTCCAAAAACATTCATGTACAAGTGCTGGTGCAGACAAATGGATTTCTCCTGGTTAGACACCAAAAGGTGGAAAATTTGGACTGAATTGTCAGTTTATGTTTAACTTAAGCAAATGATAAACTGCCAAAGTGGCTGTACTGCTTTGGGTTCCAACCAGCCATGTGTGGCTATTTTGTTTGTTCCACATCCTCATCAACACTTGGTATTGCTGATATTTTTCATTTTAGCACTCCTATAACTAGCTTTCACAGTCTGGTTAATTCATTTTGATTTTCTAAATATACATTATATGCATACTGACCCATCTACAATGTCAATAATTACAGACATCCGTGATTATTTTTATCTTAACACTAATCCTGCCAATATTTTACTGATAATGAAATGTCCTATGACATTTGAAGTTAGTCATATTAGGAAGTATCCTATTTTTAGATTAATAAGAGTTTTTTTAAAGATCACAAATGCATCTTGAGTTATTGTGTTATTCAGCATCAAGAAAATCAAATAACTTTTTTCTACTTTGACTTTCTAATGTAACAAACTAAATTAATACATTTCCCAATACTGAATCATCTTTATCCTTGGGAAAGAAACTCTAATTGGTTTGTTTTGATACACTTGCTTGGGTTTCCTCTGCTACAGTATATTTGGCATACTAGGATTTATATCAACATTTGTAAATGAATTTGGTCTAGAGTAGCATTTCTCAAATTTTGGTTAGTACATTTGGGAGGGGGGCAAAAATTCTAATCTTAAATTTCTTCTATGTAAAAACAGATATAAGACATATAAAGAGATACAGAAATAGATGAATTAAGAACCATTAGGAAGATTAATTCTTCAGTAAGTACATGAGCTATGATTTCAGCTCGGGCTCATATTATACTTCAGACTATATATGTTATTTAAAGAAGATTAAAAATCTAGTTTTAAAAAAATTTCTTACAACAATTTAACAAACAGTAGTAATCTAATAGAGCTTAATGTTTTGTTATAATTTTTAAGTCCTAAAATGATTAATTCTCCCTTCATAATGAACTGAGGGAATTACTCAAATCTGGACAACAAGAATTTAGCCAGCCTACCTGAGTGTGACTGATTGTTACATGGTTGCCATGGAGAGGTGACTGTCGATCTTTCTCCTTACTGTGCCGACTACTCTGTTTACTGCGTTGTAGCTGCTGCCTCAGTTTGGCAATCTGCTTTGGGAGAGGGAAGGAGGAGAAAGAAGAGAACAAAAGTGAATACTATTTTTTAAAGATTTTTACCTACAGTTTTTGAATATTAATAAATGGCTTTTTCTCAAAGGTTTTAAGAACAGGTAACATTTCACCACAATGATTTATTTTTTTCAAATTTTTAAGATTAAGCCGATTCAAATAAAAATATACAAGTGTTAAAAATGCTCCACTTCTATAAATTTGAATAGGCTATTGGTAAATATGGAGAGCAAATTTCCCCAGCTTATTGCAGATTTTACCTTCACACTGTAATGCCAGAAATACTTTCCTTTTAAAAACATTTTATAAAGTGAAGAACAGTATTTCAGGTGCCTACTGATCAAAGTCAAACCTGATCTCTCAAAAATAGGGACCATTAGGGCTGGGGATTTAGCTCAGTGGTTCTGGTGCCTGCCCTGCAAGGGCAAGGTCCCAAGTTCCATCTCTGGTAACAAAAAACAACAACAACAACAACAAAAATAGGGACCATATTAGTTTCTAAAGTCTTGTCTTATAAAACAAAATGGATCAAGTTTATCAATTCCTAAACATTTTAGAATTGTAACTCCCAAAGATGGTTACAAGAATCAAAGCTATTTACTATTACTAACTTATTAGCATGTAATATTTTACTATATATTACTCTTTAACCAACAACTTTAAAATATATATATATATATATATATATATATAATTTAGGATGTATTCTCCTAAAGGAGTCATACTCCCAGTTTTAACAGAAAAGTCATTATTTATAATATGACCTGGAACTCATTAAACTAATTACATATTTCAGGTGATATATAATCTACTTTAAGTGTGCTAGACAAGAGTAAGAAACTTCCTGACCACTTTAAAGAAAACTACTAAGGTAAGGGTATAGTTTATGTGTATCGATACCTCAAGGGCTCGTGAGTTGGAAACGTAGTCCCCAGTGTGATGATAAGAAGTAATGGATCTTTTATTTTGAGGAGTCTTAACTTTTTTTTTGAGATCTTTATATATTTTAGATGTCAGTGCTCTGTCCAAGGAATAGCAGGCAAAACCTTTTTCCCATTCTGTAGCTTTGCTGCTACTTTGTAAAAGGAAAAATTTTTGTCTATTTCTTGTACTACTTTGAAGATAATGATACAGTGTATTAACTATTATTTTTCATTATTTTGTTATGAAATTTTATTTTTTCATAAAATAAAAAATTTTATGAACAAAAGAAGATACAACCTTGTGGGAGGTGATATGGGGACTAGTGAAATGTGATTAGATCATGAGGGTTACTGTGCTCAAAAAAATGTAGTCCCCATTGGACCCTGGTTAGTTCTCATAAGGGTTGTTATACAAAAAGCAAGACTGGTTTTCTGAATCCCTGTCTTCCATGTAATCTCTCACTTTTGCACATCCTCCAGCCACAATGCCATCTGCCATGATGGGACACAACCAAGGGGGACCTCACCAAAGGGCAAACCAGATAGGATAACCTGTCCCATGAGAAAGGCAGTCTCTCCCTCAATCTGATAAAAGCCATCTACGAAAACCAACAGCCAATATCATACTAAATGGTCAAAAACTGAAATCCTTCACACTAACATCAGGAAATAAACAAGGATGTCCACTATCACCACTCCTGTTCAATATAGTTTGGGAAACATTAGCCTCAGCAATTAGACAAGAGAAAGAAATAAAAGCAATAAAGATAGAAAATGAAGAAGTCAAATTGTCATTATTTGCAGATGACATGACACTCTATATAGAAGACCCCAAGAACACCACTAAAAGTCTTATAGACTTAATAAACAAGTTCAGTAGAGTAGCTGGCTACAAGGTCAACACACAAAAATCAATAGCTTTCCTCTACACGAATGACAGACTCACTGAGAAAGAAATAGGTCAAACAATTCTTTTTACAATAGCATCCAAAAAACTGAAATAAAACAACCTAACAAAAGAAATCAAAGACCTCTACTCTGAAAACTATAGCACTCTGAAAAGAGAGATTGAAGACGATATCAGAAAATGGAAAGACATCCTTTGCTCCTGGGTAGTAAGGATCAACCTAGTGAAAATGGTCATACTTCCAAAACTGCTATATAGATTTAATGCATCCCAATTGAAATTCCAGCAGCATACTTCACGGACCTTGAGAAAACAATTCAAAAATTCATTTGGAACAAGAAGAGACCTAGAACAGCAAAAGCAATTCTAGGCAACAGAGACATGGCAGGGGGTATCACAACCCCCAACTTGAAACTATACTACAAAGCTATTGTGATAAAAACAGCATGGTACTGGAAAAGAAACAGACCTGAGGACCAGTGGAACAGATTAGAAGATGCCGAGACAACTCCAGACTCACTCAGCCACTTCATCTTCAACAAAAGAGCCAAACACCCACACTGCAGGAAAGATAGACTGGAACAGAGGTTAGGTAGAACTCTTGAAGACAATGGTGTAGGAAAAGATTTTATGAACAAAACTTCAGTTGCCCATGAACTAGCTTAAACAATCAACAAGTGGGATCTCTTACTAAAAAGCTTCTGCACAGCAAGAGAAACCACCAGCAGTGTGAAGAGACAACCTACAACATGGGAAAATATTTTCCCCTGCTGTTCCTCAGACAAAGGTCTGCTATCTCGAATCTATAAAGAATTTAATATCAGACCTCCCAAATTTAAAGACACAATCCAAAAATGGGGATCTGAAATGAACAGACATTTCTCAGGCAAAGAAGTAGAAATAGCAAATAAATACATGAAAAAATGTTCAACATCACTGGGTCATTCGAGAGATGCAAACGAAAACAATGCTGAGACTCCACCTCACTCCAGAAAGAATGGCTGCTATCATGAAATCAACCAATAACAAATCCTGGCAGGGCTGTGTGGAAAGAGGAACACTGCTCTACTGCTGGTGGGAGTGTAGACTGGTGCAACCACTGTGGAAATCAGTATGGAGATACCTCAAAGAGCTAGATCCGGAAGTCCCATTTGGCCCAGCTATTCCCCTGCTGGGTATCTTCCCCAAAGAATTAAAAGAATCATACCACAGTGATATATATCAGCCATAAAAAATGAGACATTAGAGACATTTATAGCTAAATGGATGCACATTGAAGCAATACTCTTAAGTGAAATAAACAAGGACAGACGTGTAAATACTGTATAGTTTCTGTCTTGTGTGAAACTGAAAGTGTAAATAAGGACTAAAAGGTATAATAGATAATGTGAAATAGGAAGAAAAGGGGCAAAGGGGAAGGGGAAGTGGGAGGGGTAGGAGAAAGGAAAGAAGGGAATGGAATCAATATGAGAAAATGAAAAACTGGAAACAAAGTCTTTGTAGATAGGGAGGCATGGAGGGGTTGAAGGGAGGACGGGAAGGGGGAAAAATAAGAACCCAGAGAGATTATGTAAAGGTGCAAATTTCCAATGATGAATGTCATTATATGGTATACCTAAAATGTACCAGTAAAATTAATTTTTTTTTAAAAAAGAATATCTACGTAAACAATGCAACCTCACAGCTTTTCACAAAACACTGTTCATCTTTGGAATGTACAGCAGGAGTTATGTTCTGTTTACAATTCAGTAAGCATCAGGGTAAAAGGAAAGTCCATCTTCTAAACAGATATACTCAGAACATTACAGGTTCTAGTTTAAAAGCATGTGAAATGAAAGAAGACCATCTATGCCATAAAATCCTCCTTTGCTTCGGAATATAGGAGTGGTGTCATTTACACCACTCACAGAAAAGGGGCAGACCTGCACAATAACGTGGCAACTGCAAATATCCTCCCCCCACCATCTGCTTTAGAACTTCCCTCTTTTCCCTTCAGTACTAAAGCATCCCTATGGCTATAGGAAGCCACCTCTTCTCTCCAATCCCGCACTAATGGAGAGCAAACACGAAAGTGTTTCTCAAAGGAAGGGCAGATGGAAGGTATAGTTTCCTCTCCTACTTTATCCACAGTTCTGAACCCCTGCCTAAGAAAGTCTCTCTAAGGCCATGTTCTGCTGTGAAACACAAAGCCACATCTTCACTTCAGTGCGTTCACCAACTCTAGTTATTAGGAGGAAATGCCCAATAGAACTTTCCATTAAAAAGAGAACATGAGGGGGACTGAGGGGGGAAAGGGATAAAATAAAATTTTTTAAAACCTTAAAGATTTAAAAAAAAAGAACATGAAAGTTAAGCCATGGCTTTTTAAACCTAAACTAAAAATGAAGCTGACTTTATGTTTCTAAATATTTATTTGCTACACTGTGGCTCCAAGAAAAAAAGAAGGAAGCAGAGAACAGCCTTCTTTTAAATATGAAATGGGCCCCAAGTATGCCTGCTCCGAAGTTTAGAAAAGTTAAGGAATAAGTGATCCTCACTCACAAAGAAGAAATAATAATGGTAGAAAGAAGAATAAGAATAAATGGTCATAAATAAGAAAAAATGTTTATGGAATTAGATGAAGAGCAATCAGAACTGGCCCCTTCTGAGAACCAACAACGTATTTTTTGGAAACTGGTAATATTATCCTGTTTATTTGCTATTTTTATCTTGTTTGTTTCCCTACTATTGTTACCATCTTTAAAAAGAAAGAAAAAGAAAAATTCTTTTTAGCTTCAAAAGACTGGTTGAGCATTTTTGCACCAGAAACTGAATGGGAGAAAAGTATTTCTCAGAATGAACTGCAATCCACATTAGGCCAAGAGAATGAGAAATCTTATTTTAGAAGGACTAAATGGCAGTGGTGGGAAGGGAAGTGGAATCCTGAGACTTAAAAGAAAGGGGTCAGGAGAGAGGAAGAAGAATGTCTAAAATAAAGAATTTTATAGGTATCACTAGGAAGAGACCTAGTGTTCTCAGCTAATCTTTCTTACCCACAGGGATCACTGCATCAAGATGCAAGTGTAACCATCACAGGTACCTGGGAACTCGAGTAATTCTTATTTTTAACATTAGGATAAATGGGAAGTATGTCACTGTTTTCCTATGGCACA